GTTATACCGGACCAAAAGCTCGAGCATGACTGAACATATGTGATAATGGATAGTTTCTCTTTCAACGGTAAGAACAGAATGAGTATCGCGCTTGCGTGCATAAAACGTCTGCGCGTGATGAGAGTTACACGAAAAGGGTTGGCGAATTATACGTGCCTAATTCTCGAATAAATGCTAATGCGACAACAGGATGTATGCGTTGCATGACATATACAACTTCGTAAAGTTTCGAATTATAACAGGATATTTACTACCTGGAAAACCTACAAATCTTGGAATTTTTAGGGGATTCCGTTTTACCCTCGAAAATAAGAAATTTTCGTGGAATTTTATCAAAACTCAGAGAAATTTTTAGAATTTTACTTTTAAATTTAAATTCTGTTTCTTTCTAGAAGCATTTTTTAAAATCACTTTTTTCTTAATAATGCAAAATTTTGACAATTAGTTAGCAATAAGTATGGCATGCACATCCGTGTATATTCACGTATATTTTTTTTATGTCTCGTGAGTTTTTAGAAAAAAATCAAAATTATAGATTAGGAAACTCAACAAAACAGAATAGCTCACTGATATTATATTTTAAGGCGTTTTCTTTATACTGCTCTGTAGATTTCGCGACATCATTGTAGAAAATGATAGATACAGTCAAAATTGTATCTATTGTGAAATCCTACTCTTGTTTTAATTTTCAACATATACTTTATTTTTATTGCTTGCATTGCAATCACACCCTTTTATTTCCAAGTTGTACTGAAAAATTCTCTAATCGTTTATCTAATTTCGAAATAGATTATCTAATTTCAAAATACTTGAATAATCCAGAAAGAATTAAGGAATCGTTTTTTTTATTTTAGTAAACACGTTTTATATGCTGGAAAGGATAATTTGTGCTGCATATTGCCATGTAAGTATAATTTATATAAATATCACATAAATAAAATATTACAATTTACACATATTATGCAACAATTTTTTAAAGAACCCGTTGCTGATACAAAATATTCCGATTTTTATTCAGAGCGCAAAATTTGTTGAATAAACGTGTTAAAAGTTTATAGCTATTTAATGTAAAATTTAATGTTACGTATCACATGAATACACTATAATTGAAATTATATTTTCTCAAATAATAAATGTTCGTAGAATATTCAAATAAGCGATAGATGATTTGATAACTTATTATTTTTAAGTTAATTACGTTATTATAGTATTTGTAATTAAATCGATGTCTATTTTGATTGTAAAATGCAGCAAACTTTTTATTTCAGTACATGTTTTTTTAATAAAAAAATTAAACTGTCGACTTTCAAAAAATATTAATATAAAATATATAAAATTCCAATTTTTAAAAAAATATTTATACTTGTGTGGATATACTTACATCACCGAAGCTGATGGACAATTCGATTATATTTCCTGCACTAAGCCTGGACTAGAATACAGATTACCAAGACAACAACAAGACTTTTTTCCGAAAGTTTGATACTAGTCAATCATGTATGAGTTCTTACATTTTTATAGTTTATCAAAAGATTTCTGTTACAAAAGATTATCACACAAAGTTTTTTTATCGCCATTTGAAGGATTTGCATATTACATTACGTTGTTTTGAAAAATGACAAACGTGCCTATTTTTCATTACAAGTTCGCCTATATAACAAAATATAAATATGTTAAACATAAACAAACTGAGAAGTATCAAATATGCTAAGCCACTTATACAAGTTGCTTAAAATGCCATTCTTATAATATGCAATATTTATGATTGACAAATAAAAGACGTTTAAAAAAGTAATAATTCTTTGAAATATTATTAATTAATATTGACATATTATTAAAAATATAATAATTTATGAATTTATTGTATTATATAAAATAAAATTAAACTTATTACATTAAGTTGATATGTATCATGCAATAATATCCAAGACAACATGTTCAACGTACATCCCATACTTTCATCAGAGAAATGTCATGTAACAATTCCTCGATTAGAGGTATGAAGTAAAAACGCGTGACACGAATATCGCATTTTTTTTCTTTATAAAATTTATAATTATTTATTTTACGGCAAATTTTATTTTACTTACATATCCTTTTTTATCTACAAAGTTTCGCTTCTTAATTATTTAAATTTACTGTCTAGTATATCGCATTGCATAGCACAGTAGCTAATTGTCGACATAATTTAATTTCTGATATCTCAACTGATGACAAACAATGCACATGCAATGTCTCAACACGTCCAAAGTCATACTTACTTTCAGATACGTATGTGTAAATCTTATCAATCTCTCATTTGTAATATCGTCGACGCTCTGAGGATCTGATGGTCAACTAGATGATTTATTCAAGAGAATACCTGCAGATGTCCGTAAGCATACATTCCAAAGAGAGCTGCCAAGCTACATGTGGCCACCGTGATCTTGTAGGCGACAAAGTCGGAAAATAGCTAGATGAAATAAAAGATTTCGTTGCCGTTCTGGTGAATCTAGTAGTTATTATAATTCTGGTTATAAGGCCCAGGCTCATTGCGAACATCTAGATAACAGGATAGACTTTTCATTATCGCAGCACGAGCGACTGATAAGTACTGACAGTTGCGAAGCTTTAAACTCTCGTCTTCGCAGTGATTTGCGCTTGCGCCACTTTGTATATTCTCTATGGAAAAAAATGGATTTACGCAGAAATGCGGTCTAAGTGCGTAACGAAAAATTTTGAACGATTATCGAAAATTATGTAGTGCTCCGAGAACCGTTCTGTTTCCCGAAAGGTGCATTTTATAATAGCTATCATGTTAGGGAGACACAAATAGTGTGAGGGAGACATAATGTTATATTTGGATTGGATCTTGTTTCAGAAAATCATAAAGAAAAATAAAATATTATACGCAAGCTGACGAACGCGCGATTTTGCAATGTGTTGAAGAAAATATAAAAAGAGTGAATATTTTGAAATAGTTCGCGATATTTTAAAAAATGATCTTTAAGTAATATTTCGTATTATTATAATATTATGTATTATTATAATATTATGTATACACACATATATACAAGGTATACATTTTTTTTAGTAATTTGATTAATTGAGAGAGAGAGAGAGAGAGAGAGAGAGAGAAACTTGGATTATATATTTTTTATATAAGTGTAGAGATATCAGATTTCGGAATGGTAAAAATCTGGAGATTATAGATGAAATTAAATATACATGGATACTATTTAAGGTTTCGAAAATAATTACAAATTCTTGTTCTCCATAATATGACATGTTCTTTCGTATATGATGTAATATTTACTCAATTATAAAGTAACTGTCCGCAGCAAGTTTAAATACGCCATCGCGGTTCTAACAACCTAAAAAATAAATAAAAGTTAATATTTTTAGGTAATATTTTTCGCAATAAATTTAATTACAGTTTTTTGGCATATTAACATCTTTATAATATGATGCCTGATTGAGTATCAAAATTATTAAAATTACTTGTCAATTTAATTCGCGAATTTACTACAGTAGTTTAATTGCGTTTATGTAATCCGAAAAAGAATTCGGCGCGCAGTTCGAAAGACTACAAATATGGTGTGTATATGCAAGTACATATATAGTATATTTAATAATTCAAGATTAAATTATTTAAGCATTAAAGATCCAGCTTCGACCATTGTAGGTATTTTAATATTGATTGTGTTCTCACATAAATGGTCTAAAATAATATTATTTGTAAATAAAAGTTATTTATATAAAACGTGTATATAAATAAGTTTACAAAAAAATGTGCATACGTGTATGAAAAGAAACCCGAATGACTTTATACATTTCTTAATAATTCTTAATATATTTAAATATACAATTTTTCTCATGAAAATTATTTTTAGAAGGTACATTTATATATGTGATTTTTATGAAAACTTTTTTGTTACTGTTATAATACAGGTAAAATGTACGGATAAATTTGCTTACTGCGCCAAAGCTGCTGAATGAAAGATCGATCACTTTACCCGCCGTGAGTTTCGTAGGATATCCGGCCATGGCAATTACTAGGATAAGATAACGAGCTTCTTTACTAGGCAAGCAATACCAATCGATCGTGCAGCAAGTTGTGTTTACTTTATTCCCCTGTTATATAAAGTGCAACAAGTGCATTTATAGCATTGGCATTTACTTGTAAAAATTTTATAATCTCTTTATTAAATATGTTCATAAAAGTATTTTATTTGTTTAAATATATTATCTATTACTCTTCAGTTTACGATATTTTATTTTTATATACACTTCCACTTAATAATAATTTTTATACCTGAACATTTTTATAATCTACGTACCCTACCTGACTACTTAAAAGTTCCCCAATGTAACATAATATAAAAATATTGAAGGTAAAAGATACAAGCATTATGCCATATGTCATAGAAGATAGTGTATCATTTGATTCCCATCCCTAAAAAATTAATTATGTAACACATTATTTGGAAACGCGTACAAAATATTTTTATGTCGTGTTCAAAATAAATATAAAATATCAATAAATGTAAATGCAACTATTGTTGCATACCGTTATCACGTAATATCCAAGGAGACACAATATTAAAGTGCTTCCAATAATTTCGATAAAACACATTTCTCCTATAACGTCTTGTATCTGATGTAAAAATCTAGAATTCGAGAGAGAGAGAGAGAGAGAGAGAGAGAGAAAGAGAGAGATTATACAAATATGTATTATTGTAACGTCTCATTCTGTTAGACTTTTTTAAAATTAACGTATAAGTAAAATTAACTATATAAGTTTAAACAATAATTTAAAGAATAAATTTAGATAGATTCCTTCTAAATTTAATATTCAACAAATGGACAATTGATCCCAACAAGTACTAGAAACGAAATTGATAATATTTCAATGTAAAATTTTCATATTTCGAGATAAATTTTAATTCAGTTTAATTTAAATCGTAAACTTAAAAAGAAATTTAAACTTAACAGAAAATGAGAGTAATAATTTCAGTTACTTACTTACGTATTCTCACGTGATGCACGATAATCGCTGCCAATCTTTGAGCAATAGCGCACTTCGACCAATGGTTTTCGATCGCTGTGTTCTCCAGCCAAACGGTCAACATTTTGAGTTGTCCGCAAGTATGCATGGTGAATAACGCAGTGATTCCGCAGACGCTAGTTGTTACGATATATATGACGATGCCAGTCACTAAATGCATTGAAAATATGATTTCGTAAGCCGGACTCTGTTGCGGATCGAAGAAAATGAAATAGTTGCCCTGCACCAACGGTCTAATCGTCATGTTTCCGATTACGATTGTGCCGCGGAGTATTGGTTTAATCAGACGATGAGTGAAACCGCTAGTGAAGAGGAATAACAAAGTGCAGATGATGATGAAACGTCCGGTTCTGGCCTGGTCCAACATAATTTTACGATCGTTCGTATCCCATACATTCCGCCAGTCTTCCTGCAAATGCCTTATACATTTTTTAATACGATCCTCCTGTAACATCAGTGTAAAGTACATTGCAGGAACCATGCTGTAGAAGAAGAATCCTCCAATCATCCTGAGTCGGCTTTTAAATGTGTCCAAAATCAGAAACATGTATAGCACCCACGGTATCAGATTAAAGGACAATAGGAAGCAGCACGCAGTTCTGAGAAGTCCCCTGAGAAGTCTCGCCCATTTTCCAGGTTTCTCCATATTCGGCCACACACCGATCAATCCCATAATAAGTCTGTGCACTTGTACGGTGTACCTAATGTCGTCTTCATAGTTGGAATTTCGTAAATCCGTCTGTTCGTTCATGGCATGCATAAGCCGGAGGAAAGCGATTATTCTTTTCACTTGTTTACGAAGCGGACGTACGATCGCAACTGACAGATGAACGTACAATGAAACGTACTGTTTTACATTATGCACATTCTTGCGTCTGCGTGAATCATCTCCGTCACCGTAGTTTCTGTCACGGCGCAGTACAAAGTTTGGAACAAACGGTCGCGTGCGCGCAATTTTTTTTCGGTAGAAGATAATTATGGAATAGGATCGATTCATACGAAACGGCCTTTAACAAAAGTACAAATGTCTACCTTGTGTCAGGTCATAGGTCGTAGATCGTCGGTTATATTAAACCAACAAAACCACGTAAATTGTTGATTGACAAGTATTTATAAGTAACAGATGGTTAGGCGGGACTAAAAGTTCGAGTGTAACTGGACATGTATACATGTGTTCATAGATATTCTTTCTTTCTGTGGTAAGAGCCGACGATGTAGTCCCCTTGCGTGCATTAAATGTGTGCGAATAATTACGGGGTTGCACAAAAGAAGTTGACGAATTTTACCCGTTACATTGCAATACTGACTAGCAAAAAGAAGAATCGCCATACAATGCGTGACATTGTAAAATTTAAACTCACGAATCAGAAAAGGTAATGTCAAGTGTCATTTGTGTTGTATATTGCTGCGAACGTATACAAAAAGAACGGTTTTGTTGAAGTATCTAAAAATTTAGCTAGATACAGATATGAAAATAATTTTGTTGGATCATCAAAATAATTATATAGGATGCTCAAACTAGGGTGTTCTAACGTTCTACAACATTGTGCAACATGTTTGAGACTTCTACATAATATTTTGATCGTCAAATAAAACTATTTTCAGATCTGTATCTAGCTAAACTTTTAAATACGACACCAAAATCTTTCTGTGTAAATAGAATGTCATGTAATTAAAAATATAATATAGTTATAATTTATACACATACATTATTCTCACAGTAAAGTATCCACTGATACGAAAATTAGTTTAATAAGTTATAGTTAAGCGTGACATAACAATAATATGAATACAAAAGTATATACACATATGTAGATATATAAACATTATATACATTCTGCTTCCAACAAAGAAATATAATGATATAACAGAATTATAATATAAAACGAATTCAGAAGATTTATGCTTGCGTTAATTCATATTACTAGTAATACTATTTATATTTAGAAGTCCATAGATTTCAAGCCTTAAGTTTTTACATGTAAAATTTAATTCCTTATATTACGAGTACATATAATATCAAATAATTTATTTTAGAAGTCCATTGTTGATAGATTTGTAAAACGAAAGTTTATTTAATTACAAATGACAGGTGTGACATAACAATACTAAATTTCAATATTTCTGATTGCATTCTGTGTAATTTATATCACTTAATGATTATACGTGCAGCACCAGAATATATTTTGAAGGAAAATGTACGATTGATTGTCTCAATTTCTTTCAGCAAATGTATTTTAGTGTATATAATAATTTTTTAACTATTTATTAAAATTACTTGATTTCTTTTTTCTTCTTTTCGATATATAATTGATAACTAATTGGCATTTATTAATAATTATATTAATAATTTTTACACTCGGATAAGTTTTATGTAGTTAATGTACGCAACATATTTAAGTAGGCGACTGATGTCTTAACCACCTATCAATTGGACGAAGAATGTGTGAATCATGATAGTTACAAGGATATTATATGCAATGACATTTACTCACGTCACCGAAAGTACTGAGAGACAACTCAAAGAGATTTCCAGCGGTAAGTTTAATCGACGTATTGGACACAGCGATCATTAAGATGAGATCAAGACCCTTTTTTCCTGACAAACGATGCCAATCGATCATGTACGATTTCTCGCCAATCTTCTTACACTATTTACGGGATTACTTCTCTTATTTTTTTTAAATATGAAACATAATTATATGCCGCCAAAAATAACTTTTAAAAATAAATTATGTATTTTACAAATTTCATTATTATAATTACAGTTCTGTTCCTATTATTGTAAAAATACATGGGCCATTTTTCTTGTAGTAGCAACAAGTGTTAATTTTTGTGAATTTTTCTGTTTGAGAAATACATACTTATCACTTTTTTGTTTAATAAATGATTTGGTGTACATACATATATTAGGTTGTAACTTGAATGTCCGATTTTGTAATCAGGGAAAATTAAAGATCCTCTAATAAGAGCTATAAAATAACGTCAAGATTAGATTGATGATGATTTTTCAATAAAAATGTATGAATACCATAACTGTACACAGTCATGTCATATTTAAAATGATACGACTGTCGTGATACACACAGACGTATTATTTGCTAAAAAATGGCACCAATCAAAATTTGGGACGTTATTTTATGACTTTGATTAGAGAATCTCTTAAATTTCACACTCAGTTTTTTACGTATCCATTGTCTAATAATCTCAAACAGATGCAACGCGTTCTTCATTTATCGATGTCACAGGATGGCTGTCATGTTCACGAAAAATATTTTCACGTTCACATCGGAAGGCATCGTCCCACTTGTTAACAGTTCGATATAGAACGCAGCGTTTCCGCATACCTCTTCCAGTCCTTTGTGACACTGACGTGTGTTTCTCTCTCGTGCAACCTGTGTTTTGATAAAACTCAGCTGTTCATGCGTGAACATTAGAATGGTGAAATAAACGCTGAATTATTTCTCTTGTTTGCACAAATCAGACACTGAAGTTATGAACTCATGTGTATATTAGATCTTGGGCTGCGTTTGGGGAGCGCACTGTCAGCGCTACCGAGAGCACTACCATGTCACTGTATTCTTATTATTTATTAGACGTAAAGCAAAGATAAAACGACGCGACAACACTAACAGCGCGCTCCCTAAACACACCCTTATTAAGCATTACAGGACAAAAAATTGACAATGAGTATTTCTCAAATAATTATCTTCTCAACGATTATTGTTGCCATTACGACAAAATGACCATATATACTGTAAAAATATACTTGTGAGATTTGGCAATAAATTTATCAACGGTGCAAAGGAATGCTCTTTAAATTAGGACTTTAGAACTTTACCTTTTCGGCAACAAGCTCGCCGATGTAACATAATATAAAAATATTGAACGTAAGAGACATATATAAAACAATATATGTTACATAACTTGTCATATCTTTTCTTTCCCATTCCTAGAAAAAAAATGTAAAAATGTCCTATATATATTTAAGATCATTGACATGTTAATTATAAACAACGCTCTCTGATATTGCTTGAAATAGTAATGCGCTTTACGTACTTTTTGTATGATATGCATACCGTGATAACAAAATATCCAAGAAAACACATGCTTAATGTACATCCTAAAATTTCCACCATAGATATTTCACGCAGCATTTTGTCCGTCAGCGTTATAAAACTGGAAAACAACCGACACGTAGAAAATATCGCGTAGAAAATATTTTATACGAAAAGTACGATTTCGTTAAGTGTTCCTAAACAATTAAAAATAAATTGAAACGCTATTTAGAGATACATGTACATGTTGAATGCAAGAGAAGCACCGACGATGCTCGTCGAACACAGACTTACTGTAAGATTCGAACGTGCTGCTGCACAATCATTGCCACTCTCTCATCCACGTTATCGCAGAAGTCTTCCCGTCCATCCACTAGATGTTCGATCCATTGCATTAAGACTTCTAAGCGGCCGTAGGCATGCATCGCGAACACGGCTGCTAAACTGCATGCACCGGTAGTGATAGAGTGCACAATGAAACCCGACAAGGCTTGTACACAAAAAAAAATATCACTGATAGGACTACGTCGCGCATCGACTATCATACTGGAAACAGGATACATTAGTGGCCGATACGTCAAGTTTCCGCCGTCTTCCGTGATCTTGCCGTTACTCAGCGGCAAAGCGAGATAATAGAAAGTAGCACCGCCGTACATAAAAACCGCGCAAATCGTCACAAGACGTCGACCGAATTTCGCGCTCCTGATCATAATCATCCGATCATTATAATACCGAGTGTTAATCCAGTCATTCGCGATATGCTCGATACCACTACGGATATCATTCTCACGGAAGATCAATGAGGAATATTTTATGACGGCCATTAAGCAGAAGTTCAGCGGCCCGGTGAGTTTCAAGATATCGTAAGCATCATCCATTTCAAGCACCAAATAGATTGCGGAGGGTACAAAGAGGAAGCTGATTAGACTGATGCAAATGACATTCACCAGCATATACGCGTATCTCTCTATAAATGAAATCTTGATTGATTTCGGCCAGGCACCGAGCGGCTTCAGTATCCAACGATTCAGCTGGATGCTTAGTCGCAGATCTTTCTTGTAATCATTAACAACTGTGACTGGATTTACTTTCTCCATTATAATGGCTTTGTGCTTAGTTGAAGTGATGAAAGCTCGATGGTTACTGATAGGATTGTGCAAGAACCCGTGTGCGGAAAGTCAAAATGCGACTGCGCTGTTCCGCGTAACTTTCTTTCTAGGAGGTGGACGATCAAATAATAAAGTACGAAGGGTAAACTTTCTAGACGCAATTCTCAATTTCCGCAAAGGGGGATCAAAGTTTCCTTATGTGACACTGCACCTGTCTGTTCTTGAATTATGAACAGAAAGATTTACATACTTTGCGGAGATTTTTTTCCGCAATTTATCGGAGCAGATCGCAAGCATTTTTTTCTTGCGTGAGATTCTATACGTGTGTACGAATACGATTTTGCCTATATGCGTATATTATATAATGCTTATACATGAGTATATAGAAATACAATTTTATAGAAATACAAATATTATTGCAATATATTTTTAACTAAAGAAAATACTTTGTCTTATCTTATAAAAAAATTAGAGAAATTGTTTAATGTTAAATAAGATAGAATTGCGTTCAAATATATCATTCAATATTTAAGTAATATATGTGAACGTAGTTTTATTTCATTTAATATATTTGTATGTATATACAGGGTGATCCGAAATTCGAGGAATCGGAGTATAGAACATAATACTTTATGCTAAAACAAACAACTCTTTTTCCTTTAGCAAAATTGCGTCCGATAAATAATTTTTGCGCTTATTTGTTAACTTCAACCAGCTCTCCTGTAAAAACTACTTATCGGAGAGATTGTTTGTTTTAGCATAAAGTATTATGTTCTATACTCCGATTCCTCGAATTTCGGATCACCCTGTATATATAATCGTTGTAAAATATATAAAAGACACTATGCGGTCTCGCGCTCGTTCCTCGTGCTGCGCGTTCACTTGGCGCGAGACACTACCGCGTCTCTTGATTGTTCTGAAGACACTTTACAAATACTTTGTTTTGTTGTTTTATATTGAAATATCTATTGTTCATTAATATATCAAGTAATAAAGCATATACCTGATAACACTATACATATTATACGAAAAGATATACATATTTAATCTTGAAATACAGGATGTTTACGATGAACTTCCGATATGTTAAAATGATAAGAAATAAAAATAAACAGTACATATTTCTAGATATTTTTAGTGTAAAGAACAACTTAAAAATTTTTTGCAGATATTTTCACATTTCCAAACTTCCACATAAATACCTTTAGTGGTTTAGATCATTCAATTGAGCGAGGGAAATCCCATTCCCCGATGATCTTGTTCCTCTAATATCATTCCCTTGGATTTCTTCTTCTAGAATTATATCCAAGACAGTTTACTTCATCAAGATATTGAATGTATTATAAATGTTTTACGCAACTGAACTGTAGCCGCCATTGGTCATTATAATTGATGACATACTTCAGCGAACATTATGTGAAGTGGAATACTTACACAATATCCTTCATACGACTAAAGGTGCTCATGTAAATGTTAGGTAATTTAAAAAAAATTCTTTTTTAGTTGTTTTTTACAATAAAAAAAAATGCATTCATGTCTGTTTTTATTTTTTGTCATTTCAAAATATCAGAAATTTCATGTATAATACTAGGTAATAAACAATACAATATATTATATATTTTGACGTTTTATTTGAAGGATCATTAAAATGCGATAATTCAACATGTTCGAAATTTACTATTGTAATTCATGAAAGATGTTATGCCAATTAATAAGTAATTTTTTGCAATTTTATTCTGAGTAGTATTTCTTATTGCACAATTTTATATCGTATAATAATGTATGAAATGTTAAGAAATATTTTCGTGGAAAATATATGAAAAATATATTTTATTTTTCTCTCTTTTCAGTAAATATTTAGTAAATTTTAATCAATTTTTTATTTTTTTAAATTGTATTCATTTTCTTTTTTTCTTCTCGAAATGTATCAAATAACTGGCATCAAATAATTAACTTTTATTTGCAATCAATAATCATGTTAATAATTTTTACACTTCAGATAAGCTTTATGCGGTTAATGTACGCAGCATATTTAAATAAGCAACAGATGTCTTAACCACCTATTGGTTGGATAAATGATATATAAATCATATATCTCGATAAATATGATAGACATTGATATTGAGTACTCACATCACCAAAAGTACTGAGAGACAATTCGAAAAAATTTCCAGCGGTAAGTTTAATCGATGAATTGGACATAGCGATTATCAATACGAGGGCAAGACCCTTTCTTTCTGATAGACGATGCCAATCGATCATATATGATACTTCACCGATTTTCTTGCACTGTTTACAGATTATTTTTCAAGATTATTTTTCTATTTTTTATACGATATAGATCACACAGAAAGAATTAATTCTGAATAAATTCTTAATTTTACAAATTTCATTATTATATTAAAATTATATAATATAGCAATTATAAAAATAAACCATAAAGGTGTGCTTCACCATAAAGTTTGTCATTAAATTTATCATATGTGCAGACAAATGCTTTGACTGTAAAGACTTTACCTTTTTGGCAACAAGTTCACCGATATAACAAAATATAAAAATATTGAACGTAAGAGATATAAGCAGAACAATGTATGTTATATAACTTGTTGTATAACTTGCAGTCTCTTTTGTCTCCCATTCCTGGAACGTGAAAATTTCTATATTCGAGGACACATACATTATACGTATCGAATAGGTACATATAAATTGTAAATCGTACACGTTGATTTTTGACATTGCTTCGAAATAGCGATGCGCTTTGGTACGTATTTGTTATACAATATGCATACCGTAAGAGAATAATATCCAAGAAAACACATATTTAACGTACACCCTACAATTTCCACGACAGATATTTCACGTAATACTTTGTCCGTTAGCGATATAAAACTGGAAGGTAATGTGTATGTTATAATTGTATAGAATATATCCAGTTGATATCAAAAATAACATAACATCAATATTATAATTTCGCACTCTATCATTTATGTTGTATTGTTATACATTTAATGCTTGATTTATGCTTCGGTCTTAAGCCTAAAATTCTAAAATTCAGCCAATAAGGCTGCCAATCTTAATTGGTCCTAACTGAAATCCGTATTCCATTGGCTGAATTTGGATTTTAGGGTTAAGACCGAAGCATAAACCAGGCATATATTATTGAGATTAAAATTATAACATTGATATTATGTTACCTTTAGATGGTATCGACTGGGCAAACACATGAGAGACGCAATTTGGTTACGTGTTTGTAAATTAGAAATTAATTGGAGCGCTCTACATATGTGTAAAGTGTCGCTTTAATTCATTTTTATTAACATTTTAATGAGAATTTTAAGAAACGCCGACCATCCACGTCTGAGAGTAACTTACTGTAAGATTCGAACGTGCTGCTGTACAATCATTGCCAATCTCTCATCCACGTTATCGCAAAAATCTTCCCGACCGTCCACTAGATGTTCGATCCATTGTATTAAGATTTCCAAACGGCCATAGGCATGCATCGCGAACACGGCCGCTAAACTGCATGCACCGGCAGTGATGGAGTGTGCTATGAAACCCGACAGGCACTGAATCCAAAAGAGAATCTCGCTGATAGGACTATGTCGCGCGTCGAGAATTACACGCGCGACTGGATACACCAGTGGCCGATACGTCAGGTTTCCATCACTCTCCGTAATCTTGTCTTTACTAAAAGGCAGAGCAAGATAGTAGAACACGGCACCGCCATACATGAAGAATGCGCAGATCGACACGAGGCGCCGACCGAACTTGGCGTTCCTGATCATGATGATCCGATCACTAGAATGCCAGCCTGATACCACTGCGGATGTCATTCTCGCGAAAAATTAGCGAGGAATATTTAATAACGGCCATTAGGCAAAAACTCAGCGGACCGGAAAGTTTTAAAATGAGATATACATCATCCATTTCAAGCAACATGAAGATTGCGGAGGGTATGAAGAGAAAGCCTATTAGACTAATGCAAACGACATTCACTAGTCCGTATGCGTATCTCTCCATATATGAAATCTCGATTAATTTCGGCCAAACACCGATTGGCTTCAGTATCCAACGATTCAACTGGATGCTCAGTTGCATACATTTCTCGTGATCGTGGACTGTTGCGACAGGACTTGTTTTTTCCATTATGGAAACCTTCCTAGTACTATTGAAATGATGAGAGCTCGATGATTACTGAGAGGATTGCGCGAGAGATTTGAGCGAGGAAAGGCAAGCATCGCGTCTGCGCCGTTCCGTATAATTTCTCTTCTAGGAAAAGACAATCGACAGAATACAAAGGGTAAACTTTACAGATGCTATTCTTGATTTCCGTGAGGGGGATCAAGAGTTCCTCATATAGTACTGCCTCTGTCTGTTCATGAATTAAGAATGGAAAAATTTACATTCTTTACGGAGATTTTCCGCGATTTATTGAAGCGAATCGCAACTGTTACTTTCTTACGTAAGATATCATATGATATTAACGGGGATGAATATGATTTAGCATATGCATACATATTACATACTATTAATTATATACAATGACATGAAATTAAAAATATTATAATATATTTCTTAATGAATGAAATGCTTCGTTTTATTTTACGACGTGCTTCCAAGATACATATTATTTTATAATTGAATAGATTATATTCTAATATCATTTGAACGAAATTTTTTAAATATATATATTTTTATGAAGACGTATTAAGAAGAGGTAATTTTAGTTTATTGCTTTGTATTGAAGCATCATTTATTTATTGTGCATAAAGAAACAAAGATGCACGTACCTGATGATACTATTCAAATAATACATAAGAAAATTTTTCAAATAGTATCATAAATAAAACTGTGCAATATTACATACTTTGACTCTTATTCGAAGCGCAAGATTTGTTGAATAAATATATTCAAAGTTTATACTGCTGTTTCGTGTAAGATTTAATATCATTAAATGAGTACTATTATAATTCAAATTGTACTTTCTCAAGTAGTAAACGTTCGTAGCATGTTCAAATAAGCGACAGATGATTTGATAACCTATAATTTTTAAAATGCATTGTTATAATTTTTGTGATTAAATAAAAAAAATCTATTTCTAGATCGTGTAAAATGCATCAAATTTTTAATTTCGTTATGTCTTTTTGATGAAAAATTTAAACTATGGAATTTCATAAAACATTAATATAAAATATTTAAGATTATGTTTTGATTACTTTTTTATGATATTTATACCTAGATATAATACTTACATCACCGAAGCTGCTGATGGACAGTTCAATCATACTTCCAGCAGTGAGCCTAGTAGTTGCATTGGACATACAGATTATCAAGATGAGAGCAAGACTCTTTTTTTCCGGAAGTCGATACCAGTCAATCATGTACGAGCTTTCACGTACTTTTATAATCTATCATAAGATTTCTGCTATAGATGATGATATCACGTAATGATTTTTAAATTATTTGATGTTATTACATATCGCCGTTCGAAGGATGTGTTGTTTTGAAAAATGTTGGATGTACCTGTTCCGTTACAAGTTCGCCTATGTAACAAAATATGAATATGTTGAACGTAAGCGAAATGAGGAGTATCAAATATGTTAAGCCGCTCACAGGTTTCTTAAAATCCCATTCCTGTAATATACAATATTTATTATTGATAAATAAAAACTTTTAAAGATAAAAAAAATTTTTAAGAAAAATAATAATTTTTTGATACATTATTAATATGTGATACATTATTAATAATGACATCAATATATTTGCTATATTATTATTTTAACAATATAAGAATTTATGAATTCATTATATTATAAATCATTCATCGTATATTATAAATCATTATATTGCATCAAATTAAGTTTATTCTATTAAATAGATATATACCATCATGAAATAATATCCAAGAAAACATATATTTAATGTACATCCCACAACTTCCACCAAAGAAATCTCATGCAACAATTCCTCGGTTAGAGATATAAAGCTAAAAACGCGTGAAACAAGTAATCGTATTTCTTCTTTATAAAATTTATAAACGTATATTTTATGGCAAATCTCATTATATACACACTGTAAAAAATAAAATATTAATTTTAACTTAAAGATGTATAGTGGACTTTCTGAGACATGCAAAAATATTAAAATTAACATTTTTGTCTTTAAGTTAAAATTAACATTTTATTTTTTACAGTGCATATATATATGTATATATACATATATTCTGTTTATGCATTGTACATAATTGTCGGCATAATTTAATTTCTGATATATCAACTTCCGACAAACAATGCACACGCCATGTTTCAATACGTCATACTTACTTCAAGATACGCACGTGTAATTGTATTATCTTAGCTAATCTCTCGTTCGTGGTATCGTTGACGCCGTCTCGACCATCAACTAAATGGTTTATCCAGGACATGAGCACCTGCAGCTGTCCGCATGCATGCATTGCGAGGAGAGTTGCCAAGCTACACGCGGCCACCGTGATGTTGTGGGCGATAAAGCCAGCAAATAACTGGATGAAATAAAAAATCTCATTAACCGGACTACGACGAGCATCAACAATCACACTGGGCACTGGGAACACCAATCTGCGGTAAGTAAGATTGCTATCCTCCTCTATGATCTTCGCGCGAGTCAGTGGCACCGCCACGAAATAGAACGTGACGCCGCCGTACATGAGGACGCTGCAGATGACCACCAGCCGACGGCCAAAGTTTGCGTTCTCCAGCATGATTTTTCTTTCATCCATGTATCTCACGTTTCTCCAGTCACTCTTAATATAATCGACACATTTGCGAATGTCATTCTCGCGCAAAAGCAAAGCGCAGTATTTCAACACAGCCATGAAGAAGAATGTAAGAGCGCTACCGAGCTTCAATTGATTGTAGAAGTCCTTGATCTCCAGGACGATGTATATGCCGCTGGGAATTAGGAGTAGAGCCAGCAATATGTAGCAGATTACATTCAGCACTCTGTAACACAGCATCTCAATCGAGGAATGTGTCAGTGGCCACGTGCCGATTATTTTCATGATCCAGACATTTAGTTGCAAATTAGTTCGAAGATCATTCTTATAATTCTCGTTGTACGGTCCAGACTTGTTGCAAACATCAAGATATCGAGGTAGACTCTCCATTATCGCAGTACGAGTGATTGATATGTACTGACAGTAGTGAGGCTTCAAGCTTGTCATCGATATGATTTGCGCTTGCGTAACTTTGTATATTCTTTATGGAAGAAAAAAGGGATTTACGCAGAGATTTTCTAAGCGAGTAACGGAAAACTTTGCACGATTATCTGAAAAGGGTACGTGGTGCTTCAAGAACCGTTTCCTGAAAGGTGCATTTTATAATAGCTGTCATGTTAGTAGATACTATGAGGGAGAGACAATATAGTGTTATATATAGACTAGATCCCGTTTTAGAAGATCGTGGTGAAAGAAAAAAACGTTATGCGCAGACTAACCAACGCGTGGTTGGTCTTTTCAATGTGTGACAAAAAGAAAAATATATTCTGTGAAAAAAGAGTGAACTGTGCTTTGAAGTAGTTCGCGATACGAACTGTAAGGGCTACCGCAGACAAAATTTCTGTAACAGGAATCTAAGATGTAAACTTAAAAGAAATAAACTTATCCGTAAGATAAATTTCAACCGGTTGAAATTTATTTTATAGATAAGTTTATTGATATTTCTGTTAGATTACATAGATCTAAAGCAATATCCTAATTGACTCATCGGCTTAAGTTTACGTCTTACGGTTACTATTACGGAATTTTGTTTGCCGCAACTCTAAACGATGGTGTTGAATATTATTCTGTATACCGTTATATACATGTACATATACGATTTATACATTTTATTAATAATTTTATTAATAGTTGAAACTTAAGTTATATCTTATATATATGTGAAAAGAGATATCAGATTTCAGGATAATAAAAATCTGAAGATTAAATATGAAATTGAATCTACGGAGACTATTTTTGAGATTTCGAAAAAGATCACAAAAATTTGTTCAGCATAGTGTGACAAGTTTTTTCGTATATGATGTAATATTCACTCAATTACAGAGCAATTGTTCGTAGTAAGTTTAAATATGCCATCGCTGTTCTAACAACCTGAAAGTTAATAAAAGTTATTTGCACAAAGCGTTTATATAAATAAATGTTTATAAAAAGATGTTATAGATATGTTTATGAAAAGAAATCGTTGTCGAGAAATGTACTATATTTATCAATAAAATAATATTTTTAAAAATTATATTTAAATATATTATATAATATTTATCAAAAAATAATTATTACATGATACATTTAAATACGAGATTCTTATAGGAACTTTTCTTTGTTATTGTTATAATGTGGGTAATATGTGCTAGTGTGTCTAGTGAATACACCTAATATTCGAATAAAAAATGAATAAAAATACTCATTCGAATACACTTCTTTTTTATTTGTCAAGAAACGAATAAATACTTTTTCATTCCACACATTTGAATGAATATTTTTTTAATATGATTACGAATATTTTCGTTTCTTATTCACTTTTACTCTGTATTATCTATACATAGCTTGCAAAGCCTGCAAGTGAAAACAGTAATCTATAAAAATAATGATTACGATTATATCGTACGCTTAGACCGCGACCCATACGATGGGCGTCCTTGTTTAACCTATTAAACAAAGACATTTTTATTGAAAATAAATAATATATCTCGGAATTTAATGTCCACAGACCATAATAAACGATGCGCCCAAGATATCGAAAATGTTTATAACATTACTATGATGTAACCGGAATTATATCGGAATATAAGATATTAACAAATGCAAATGCACTGCTGTTGCGTACTGTTACCGTATAATATCTTAGGACATTAAAGTATTTCCAACAACTTCAATACAACACATTTCTTCAACATCTTGTATCTGATGTAAAAATCTAGAATTCGAGATTATTCAAATATGTATCGTTGTAACGTTTCGTATTGTATATTAGATTTTTTAAATTTAACATGTTTGATAAAAATCTTTAACTGTATAAGGTTAATAAATAATCCAAGGATTAAATTTACCTAGAGTCTTTTTGAATTTAATTTTCAACAAATAGACTGTTGATTCCAAAAAGCATCACAAAACAAAATTAAGTATTTCAATGTAAAATTTTTATATTTCGAGACAAATTGTAAATCTAAAAAGAAATTTAGAATTAACGGGAAATGAGTAATAATTTCAGCTACTTACTTACGTATTCTCATGTGATGCACAACAATTGCTACCAATTTTCGAGCAATGGCACGTTTCGACCATTGGTTTTCTTTTGTCAAGTTCTCCAAGCCAGATGGTCAACATTTTGAGTTGTCGCAACCGCAAGCGTGCATAATGAATAACGCCATGATACCGCAGACGCTGGCTGATATGATGTGTATTATGATACCAGTCACCATATGCATCGAAAATACTATTTCGTAAGCGGGGTCCTTTGAGGAGTCTCGTCTTTTCCGGGTTTGTTCACATTCGGCCACACACCGATTGCTTCCATGATATATTCGTGCATCTGCACGGTGTACCTAATGTCGTCCTCGTAGTTGAAATTCCGTAAATCCGTCCGTTCAATCGTGGCATGCATATGGATGAGAGAAAGAACCGAAGAAAATCGATTCTTCTTCTTTTTACAATTAGTTGTTTACGAAGCGGACGTACAATCGCAACTAAAGTTCTGTTCTACAATATGATTGCAAGCCATAAGCCGTAAGAAATTAAAAATCGTAGTTGATTATTTTTGTCATATTTAACCGTGATTGGTCAATTTCTTACGGTTTACGACTTGCGACCCTATTGTAGAACAGGCATAACAGACAAAAGTACAACGAAACCTGATTTGTATTATGCACGCTCTCGCGTCTGCATGAATCATCGCGGTTATCATAGTAGTTTGTCACGGCGTAGTTTAAAGTTTGGAACGAACGATTGCGTGCGTGCAATTTTTTGTCGATAGAAGATAATTATGGAATATATATATAGGATCGATTCACACGAGATAGCCTTTAGCAAAAGTACAAAGTACTTGTGTCAGGTCATAAGTCGTAGATCGAGGGTTATATTGAATCAACAGAACTACGTGAATTATTAATTAAATCAGGTTTAACATCTTGATGTATCTAATTTTCAAAATCAGTAATCATACGTGTAATTTTGTCAATAAAAGTTAATTTAAAAATTATAATTCTTAAGAAAATGTAAAATATGTCGAAAAGTTATTTGATTTTCTTTGATTTTTTTACGAAACTTGTTATAAAAGTAGTGAAAGGAAAAAATCAGGATTACAATAAGAAGAATTGGTCCTTCATTCGTTTCAAAGATAGCGTCAATTACAGATTACCTAATATCAAGTATTATATGTGATGATAATTATTTCATCAAAATTACGTAAATTTTATGAGCATATTAAAGTACGCCATCGATGTTTTAACGATCTGAAATAATGGAACAGGCAAACAATTCACTGTTTACAAATGAAATAAGACAAGTTTCCATACTTACATTACCGAAGGTAGGTAGAGACATGTCTATCATTCTGCCTGCCGAAATTTTTACCGGAATATTGGAAACTGCCATTATCAATATTAAAGAACGGGCTCTTTTGTACTGAAGACGATACCAGTTTGTCGTGGACGTCATTAATCCAACCTTGATGCTCTGTCATAATTCAGTAAGTGTATATTTTGTAAAGAATGTTTATAAAGTTGGTGTCTAACTTTTACAGCAAGTAAATATTAACACTTGCTACCTGATCTGTCAATCGTTGACCCACATAACAGTTAGTAAAAATGGAAAAGGTGAAAGATGTAAGCATCACAGACATAGTCAACATGGCTGTTGAGTCATTATTCTGCCATTCCTATGTGGTTAACAATTGCAATACACGAAGTTTATGAAATAATTTATTCTTAAATCTTTTGAACTTTTAATTTGACTTAAATACTATCAGTCTCAACTTTCATGCAAAAATTAATTGAGTTGTTAAATTGTTATGCATGATTGAAAGCTTTGCAGTAAATATTCGTCGTTATTACCATAATAATATAATACCCTGAAAGGCATAAGAGTACACTAGAGCCCATTATTTCCACTAACCATACATATCGCATAGTTGCCTCTACTTGTGTTAGAAAACTGTAAATAAACAATTGGTCTATTTAATGATTTTTTATTTAATAAATGTCTATTTAATGATTTGTCTATGTAGTGATATATCCAATTTTATATTTAAAATATCACACTGTAATATATATATATATATATAATATATTTAATGTATTAAAATATTAACACTTGAATAAAATAATAGTTTAATGTTTGTTTAATAACTATAATAATTACAATGTATTAGTTCAGTTTTTGTAATTTTAATTTAAACATTTTGTTATTTTTTTCTCATATAGACATAACATGGAAGAAATTTCAACTACAATAATGATATGCTAATTTGACTATATCAACCACAATTTGTAATTATTTGCTTAACAAAATAATGTGTTTAGATAACACTTCTCCATCTCACATATTTTTGTAGACTTACCTTTTCACTTTTATTTGATGCTGTACGATATCAGCCAGCAATATCGCGACAGCTCGATCGCTAGAATTCGACATGTTGAGTTGCTGCAGTTTGCTCATTATAATGCTTAATTGTCCACAAACGTGCATGATGAAAAACGCGGCCAAACCGGCCGCGCCAACTCTTATCGAATAGGTGATTACTCCTGCGAAAAATTGCAGGGTAAAGACGATCTCGTACGCTGGTGACACTTGTCCGTCGAACTTGATGAAGTAACTTGGACATGCCAGCGCTCTCACCGTGATGTTCGCCGGTGTGAGCATACGACCCTTCGACAGCGGCACAAGCGTGCGGTAAGATAGTCCGCCGATATACATGAAGACGGCAGAAAAGATCGCAAACTTTCGGCCTACTCTCGCTGTAGACAGCATCTCTTTTCGATCGCTTCCATTGACCGTGTCGCTCCAATCCTGATGCGCCCGATTCAGACAAGATTGAATCTCCTTTGCATGGTTCACGATCAGAAAATACTTCATCCAACCCATCCAACAATTCAAAATCGGCGCAAGCAGTCTGACTCTATGTTTGAATTCGTGTTCCTTTAGAAATATTCGTAGAAGACCCGGCACAATGATGAACGCGAATAAAAAGTAACAAATGACGTTTTGGAAACGGGTCGCAATTCTTTCCACGTTGGAAGCGTAACTGGGAATCGGCCACGCGCCGATTGTTCGCAGAATAATACGAGTCACTTGTACGGCGTAATTGAAATCATTATCGTGTTTGCTCGTCGTTGATGAGCTTTTCATTATTAGCTTCACTCAATACTTTTCCTTCTTTTTTAACGGGAAAATTGAATTCTCGACCGCAAATTTTGAGTTTATATTGCCCCTTTTCCAGACACTGAGAATTTCCGTTAATGTTGTAGCGTTTCGGAGTTTACAAGTGACAGATGGTTAGACAAGACTAAAAGTTATAACATAACTGGACAGTTGATAGGTAGGTAGTCTCCCTTTTTGTGGTAAGAACAGAAAGTGTAGCGCGCTTGCGTGCATTAAACGTCTGCGCATAATGACGGGGTTACACGAAAGGGGTTGACGAAATTATCGGATAAACGCAATATTGATGGACAAAGAAAAGGTTCGCCATGTGACGCATAACATTGTAAAATTTAAACTCACGAATGAAAAAGGGTAAGGTCAAGTGTCGTTTTATATGTGCTGCATTTTACGGTATACGTCAACAGAATATCATGTAAGTACAAAACAATATTGTAATACTATATATTATATTATAATTCTATACTTACATTACCCTCATAGTAAAGAGTCCGTTGATATAAAAGTACGTTTAATAAGTTGTAATCGCGATGTAACAATAACAAAAATACAAAAGTGTATATATGTAGATGTATAAAGATTATACATTCAGCTTTCAATACAAAGGAATATAATGATAAAAGATTCAGAAAATTCATGCTTGCGTTAATTTATGATACTAATGATGCTATTTACATTTAGTTGAAATCTATAGAGTTCAAACCTAAATTTTTTACATATGAAATTTAATTCTTTTGTCTAATGAACTACAGTTTTAAATACTGGTTGTGCGTAATATATTCAGATATGCCACGGATGTTCGCATGATCTAAAAAATATGTAATTACATTTTCAATAGTTTATTGTTTATAGTAATTAGAAAACTATAGCATTTTAACAAGACGTAAATATTTGAAGTGCACTTACAGCACCGAAACTATTAAGAGATAGGTCCATAAATTTTCCTGCAGTGATCTTAATGGGAATGCTAGACATCGCGATTATCAAAACGAGACCACGAGCAGTTCTGTGTGGAATTCGATACCAATCGAGAGTACAGAAAGTAACGTACATCTTTGTGCTCTATAATACGATAACACATAATAGATCAGTGAATTTTACCAATCTGATAAAGTAATAGTTATCGATCAATACCTGATCCGTGAGAAGCTCACCGATGAAACATAGTATGAAGATATTAAAAATAAATGTTAAAAGAAGTATAGTATACGTTAGCATAGATACTGCATCATTATTTTCCCACTCCTGTAAAACGAACATCAAAAATATTTTCTATTAATTAGCTTCTTTTAATATAATATAAAAATACATTTAACCCTCACCGTATATACGGGGGTCATTTGTATCCAGGTGATTTTTAAAGTTCTGAATATTTTGAAAACAAATGAGTACAGGCGCGCCATTCTGCTCCTAAAAAAACTTGTGCGGTGGTGATAGTGCAAGATACCCGTGAAAGCCCGGCAGTGGGCATCATTTTCTCGCTGAGCAGCGGATATTTAAAATCAAATGAGGACACAAATGACCCTTGTATACACTCAACGTACATTTGTTGTACAAAAAAGAAAATGAGTTTTTTCGTGTTTCTTGACTATTTTTATAAGTAAAACACATATATATATAACAAAAAAATTTTTATTTAGTGTTATCTTAGAATAAAAATGTCAAATCTCTGCAGAAGGAATGATACAATTTCTTCATTCTTTTACAATGCCATTCGGTTTGTATTTTTTTTATTTACAAAAATGTATGAGATTATAGATTTTGAATAAAAAATGAATTTTTTAAAGTTAAGTGTCAATTTTTCATAGGAACACTTATTTTTATAAATTTCAAAATTGTAAGACTTCATGTCCCGAACTTAAGCATTTTAAAAAATATGTTGGCATATACTTTTTTATTAAAATATGAATTTTGAATTTTATTTTCCGTTTTTAATAATTAGATTTCATTGATTTGATCAAAAGTTACAAATTTTGATCCATACTTTTGTAACAAAAGTTACAAATTTTGAACATACCACTACCATACTCACATTTGAATTTACATTTTTGCAAAAATAAAATATTTAAATAAATAGATTTGTTAAATTATGTATAAATCCTTCATTTAGAATAGTTAAGGAAGCTACATGAATTTTTTAATATTTTTTGAACCACTTAATTCATAAAAAAAAATGCGCCGGACATGAATGACCTCCGTATACACTTATAATGGGTACTAAAAAAACATATACACGGTGAGGGTTAAATTATATTAAAATTATATTAATAATATAAAAATTATAATAAAATTATATTAATTAATATAAAAATATATATATTTTTAGTTATATTAAACTTATAATTTTTTTCATGTACCATTATTATATAATATCCAAGAAGACACAAGATGAACGTGCACCCAACTACTTCCACCAAACATATATATTGCAAAATTTCTTCTACCTTGCTTAAAAAACTAAATGGCATTAATAATAATATCTTATTCTTAGTAATTTTTTTTATATTTATAAAATAGCAATTATGGAATTTTCTCGCACACAACATCATTGGTATAATAACATTACCTCTTAATTCTGATATGCTGCTTCACGACAGCTGCCAATTTCCCGTTGGCATATTTATCAGAGAAGTACTTAGCCTGCGTGAGATCCTCCATTCTAGTGATGAGAATTTTTAATTGACCACAAGCATGCAGCACTAGAAGAGCTGCTAGACTATAGGCTCCGCTGGTTACCGAGTATTGCACAAACCCGGAGAGAAACTGGATTGAGAAGATAATCTCATAAGCTGGCGTCTTCTGTGGATCAACGAATACATAATAACCATCGAATCCCATCGGTCTGATTGTCATGTTTTGCGACGTGACGATGACTCCGCGCGATAATGGTACGATTGTGCGATATGAGAATCCGCTGCCGTATACGAAGGCTACGCAGAGGATCGCAAGGCTGCGTCCGATTTTCGAATTGCTTGTCATGATTCTGCGATCTCCTATCAGGCTCGCTTTACTCCAATCTTTCTCGATATGCTCCATGCAATCTTTGATTCGATCACTTCGATAAATCAACAACGTATGTTTTAGCACCGCCATCAAGCAGTTGCACATGGGACCAATCATTTTGATGCGCCGACGCGCATTTGACTCCTTCAGGAACATTTTGAGTACGCCCGGTACAAAAATGAAGTAGAGTAGAGCCTGAGACAGAATCCTGAGCATCTTTGTCTGGATAATTCTGAGAGTAGACGAATTGCCAGGCAACGGCCATAAGCCGATCAGGTTTAGGACACCACGTGTAACATTCACAGTGCGTCTGATATCATCACGATGAAGGATATTCACGTTCATAACTTGAGAATCTACTTGAGCTTGACGTAGTCGACGAAGAACTGATCGGACGTACCGTCATGAAGTGAAAAATGCAAATGGCGATGCGCTTGCGTCTTCGATGAGAACGGAAGAAGTGAAGGATTGATGAGGTACAGCGATTGTTACCCACAATCTTTTTTCCCTCTTGTAAATCACGGGAAAGTTATAAAAGTTATTGTTGGGGACGTTCGTGTTCAAGGAAGCATTTATCGCGACGGGAAGTCTAGTAACTTTAAAAGGCACGAGAAAATAGCGAGAAAAAAATAGCAAGCACACAAAGGAAAACTACAGATGTTCTATTGATCTTTTGATTATACGTTCACCATTTTATGTTCAATAAAATATTTTGTTATGGAAGATGAAAAACAAAGGATGTAATGGTTCGAATAACAATTATAAACGATAACAAAAGGTACAATGTAAAAAGACATATTAATGCTAATTTTTTTTTTTAGTAAGTTATAGACATCAAATAGTTTATTAGTAAGTTATAAACATCAAATAGAAATTGAAAGAAATCTGGTATATTTATCTCATTATCGCATTAATTGTTTTTCTTTATAGACTAACAATAAGATAATTAAATAAAAATTTTGTAATAGCTTTCTACATTTATTTAGATGATCTTCAACTCAAACAGGAAGTCAAAATAATCAAATCTATATATAATATGATACATCATTGTATGAGCGAAGTATATTTGAGGTCTATATTTCGCAAAATATCTTATTTTTTCAGAGTAAATATTTGTCAATAAGAGAAAATTTTTATTATATGTAATTTTCTCTAGCGATATACTTTTATTTTTATATTAATATTTCTATTAATAATTAATGTTTCTACTAAATGACATTATGTCTCTACGTCTAGAAAAAAATACAATCAAATATTTTTGTATAAAGGGTTATTATTCCATCATTTTTCGAATAAAATTAAGATATGTCACAGCCGTTTTAACGACCTGGAATATAGTACACATCTTCATTAATCATTTTTTACAAGTAAACCCGTTACTTACATCACCGAAAGTTCTGATGGAAAGATCGAAGAACTTTCCAGCTTTAAGTTTTGCCGGGACAATCGATGTGGCTATAATTAATATCAGTGCTCGTGCTTTCGCATTCGGAAGACGGTACCAAGCCAACGTACATACTGTTAATGCTAATTTCTCTCCCTAATTTTAGTAAAATAAGTTACATGGTATAAAATAAAAATCAAAAAGAAAAATATCCAATGTATCTTTTATCTTACTACTTATTAAACGCGTTATAAGGATTTATATAATACGATACCTCTATGGAAAGTTGTTCACCGATAAAACAAAAGATATAAATATTGAATCCAATTGATGTGAGCAGAATGAGATAAGAGCACATAGATATAACATTTTGATCTTCCCACTCCTGCAAGATCGATAATTATATTTATTTATCTCGCGTACACACACACACACACACACACACACTCTCTCTCTCTCTCTCTCTCTCTCTTTCTCTCGCGTTCTGAATAACATGTTCAAACTAATAAAATAGTGTCTATGTTTAAAATTATGCGAACTACTATCACTGCATATTTATTTAGGCGCACCGTGATGACATCATGTCCTAGAAGACATACAATTATCGTACATCCCATCACTTCTAATAAGCTCGTATATTGCAAAGTGCTTTGCACCAATCGTAAGAAACTACAAAGGGACGCGTACAAATTTTCATTAGAAAATCTTTTTATCTGCTATATTAAAAAAAAGAACTTAGTAATAAAGCAAAAAAAAACACAATACATTAGTATATTAATTTTATGTGAAATTCAATTATTTTGTTCCATTTAACGGATGTGTTCTATTTAACAGATGATCATCTTGATATAAATAAAAAGACTTGCGAAATAGATATAGATATAAAAATATGACTGATATGAGATAGAAAAGACTTACTTTCGCATCTTTATCTGATGTTCCACTGTCAAGGCCAGCTTTTTATCTAAATTATTCTCCTCAGTTTCGTTTATCAGGCTGTTTATTAACGTCATCAATATTTCAAGCTGCCCACATGTATGCATAACGAAGAGAGCGGCAAGGCTGCAAATCACCACCGTGATGGTATACTTGATGAATCCGGAGAAGAACTGTATAAAGAACATGATTTCGTACGCGGGGCTGATTTGCCCGTTAAATAGAACAAAATAACTCGGGCATGGCAAATGCCTAATTGTGATGTTCTGATTGGTGATGATTTTTCCCTTGCTTAACGGCACAATTGTACGAAAATATAAACCGGATATGTACATGAATATGCCGCACAGAATGAGCAAACGTCTTGCAGTCCTAGCCTTATCAATCATGGAATTACGAGCACTGGTACTTATTACATTTCGCCAATCGTCCTTCATTCGCGCTAGACAGTTTCTCACTTGGTTTTTGCTGAGCACTAGACTGCTGTACTTGAGGACCGCCAGTATCGTGAACATTACAGACGAAATAAGTTTCAATCTGATGCGGGTTCGTTTTTCTACAAATACTATATACAAGATTGTCGGGATTAACTCGCAACCGAGGAAAAAGTAGCAGCCTGATATCAGCAAGATCCTTTTTAAATGTTCGAGAAACGAAGATTCTGCCTCTGGCCAGATACCTAATAGACGGCAAAAAACACGATTTAGTTGTATAGTGTATTTTATATCGTTCACATAATTTTCATTTGGATACATTTCTAATGTGGTTATATCGTATTTCTTTATAAGACCGACTTTGTGACGTTATGACTTTGCGTTGTACAACGCGCGGAAACGACCAGAGGGGTCTTCTTTCATCACTGATCACAGCAAGCTATCTTCCAGTCAGAGGCTAACTTGGTATGTAAACGCGCTTGCGTTCTGAACAACTGCTCACAAATAGGTAATGACATGCGCTCGGAATTCTCGAGTAAGCACGAAATGGATAAAGTTTAAAAGTCACCAAGGAAAATTGCTTCCTATGAATTGTACTTTTTGCCATCAACCTTCCCTAACTATAATAACCAGAAAAGTTATTATGTATATACAACTCCGTTTCTTTCTCTTTCGTAAACTTAGTATTGTCTCAGTCGTATTTGCAGAAATATAATTTTCACATCACGCAGAATAAAATGGTAAAGTATATATGACACATATTTTCATTACACTAATTTATATTTGATACATGTCACTATTTCTCAAAATACTAATGCACATATACATATACATATTAAAATTAGAATCGAAATATTTTTTAATTAAAGTATTGGATTAAACTTTGGTGTATAAAAATATGCAGCTGTTTTCATAATTTAAAATGTATTCTTCACCCTTTAAGCATATTCATAACATGTTTTTAAGAATATTAATGCGTATTCAACATGTAGTTTATTTTACAATTTATGTTATATACTACAGAATTACTTCAGAAATAAAAGCATGCATTTATCGATAAAAGCGTGTTCCGAATACGGGCCTTAATGTTTTAATTCATGAATCACGATTGATAATCAAAGACAATTGATCGCGAAACAAACTCACAACCAGATCTTGCATGCGTTTGCGTAAAGAATTTAAACAATACGTGGAAAGCAGAAACTATAACAATAGGATTTACGAGGAAAATTGCTTGTCGAGAGGGACGAACGTTTTCTAAGAAAAATATCTTTCCTTACTCATTTAACGGACTTCGTACTAACTAGGAAAAAGATCATATTTATCTTCACGTCTTTGTAACTTGCGATAGCAACATAATGCTGATAAGGAAGAAATAGTTTTAGTTTTTGTATATTGAATATTCCGATTTGTACGATTCAGCTAACATCAATTACTATCAATTAATGTCAATTCTTTAATCTTATGGAAAAAGTAACAGTGTGATTTTATTCTTAGTACAAATAAAAATACGTATTAATACGTGTTAATGAATGCCTTACATAATATTTGTGAATTTTTTAATGAAATATAATTAAATATATACATATAAATAACAGTTTGTATTACGTTGCAATATTATTTTGTATTCGATTTTGTATTCATGAATACAATTAATTGATTCACACTATATAACGGATTATCGAGCGCGCGCATAGTTAGTTATAATTTTAGAATTTAATAATTCAATCGATTACATTTCGAATCATATTAAAATATGTCCCAGCTGTTTTCATGATCTAAAACATTTTCAGTTGCTTTTTCTCTTCTAATTTATTTTCAATCAATCATATTTAATGTTATTGCAAATAACAAGAATATGTTAAGTAAAATTTCCATATAAATAGACATAAAATTGACATTTAAATGATATGATACTTATTTTATAAAAAATGATTCTGTCTTAATTATCTATTGCTATTAATGAGTAGAAAATATTTATATTATTTAATGCTATATATAATTAATGCGAAGAGACAAATAGCTTATGTACTTTATCAAGTTTAAACGCAAAATATTTAAGCAGTGTTGTAGGAGTAATAAAATTAATTCGAAGATATTTTACTTACATTACCAAATGTCTTGAGCGAGAGATCAACGAATATTCCAGCGGAGATCTTTGTCGGCGCGTTAGACATACGAATCAGTAATATAATGCTACGCGCTTTTTTGTCCGGAAGACGAAACCACTCGAGCTCGCAAGATGCAATGGCTACTTCTTCTGCCTATCATTGGATTATCAAGTAAGAAAATTTGTTTTTATCAAATTTTCATTTGCTATTTTAAAAATATTGTAACACGTTTCCTCTATGTTTCTTTCATGATATATTCATAAAGAGATATTTATATGTATAACTCATTTTACTCGTAGTAACTGTCACAAGATTTACGTAGAATTGCATACAATTTAAATTGCAAATAATTTGAAAGTAAATTATTCTAATTATGGACTATTATTATTGCTATCTTCATTATTACTGTTTGTGTTCTAAAAACTGCACACATTAATTTCCGTGAGACTAACCTGGCTGGTAAGCTGTTCGCCAGTGTAACAAAATAGAAACGTGTGAATTATCACATTTGTAATGCTTATGCAATAAGTGCATACAGTTGCTATATTCCTACTTTCCCAGTCCTGCAAATATATATAAATGTGTTTCATGTAATTATATTATTGTTAAATTATTACTGATCAACTGTAAAATCTGAAATGACTATTTTTTTAACAAAACATACATTCGCATAAAAATTTGAAATTTGAGTTCAAATAAGAAAATTCTAAATTGTGAATAATTATCGAATTTTTGTTTTCTTCCTATTTCTCATTTTGCAATATGCCAAAATATTTGATTTATTCCGTTATTAAAATTAATTGATAAACTTACGAACCACTAACATAAAATATACTAAAATACAGAGTGATGCCGTATTCACTGCAATTTCCAGTATATATACTTCTTGCAATGTATGTTGTACCAATCGTAAAAAACTGAAATGCAATTATCGATGGTAACAATTAACTTGGTCTAATAGAAAAAAAATAAATATCAATAAAATGTGAAAGAATAGAAAGCTAATAATATTTACCGCGACATTGTTAATAAATATTATTATAATAAATACACGTTGATTAGTATAAGTGCTATACTATGAACATGAATAATATGTTAATAAGTTGTGGGCTTACTTCCGTACTCTCATTTGATGATTCACTATTTCAGCTAGCTTCGTATTTACTTCATGTTCCTCTTGCCATTGTTTCTGTACGAGTGCTGTCATCAAACTGATCAAGATTTTCAATTGGCCGCAAGCATGTTCCACAAAAATCGCCGTGAGTCCGCATGCACTTGTCACAATCGAAACTGGAATAAATCCTATTACAAATTGGATTATAAAGATCATCTCGTAAACAGGAGTGACTTGCACGTCGAGGGAAAAGAAGTAACCCGGACAGGAAAAGTGTCTTATCGTGATGTTCTGATCGGTGACGATCTTTCCCTGGAATAACGGCAGGATTGTTCGAAAGGTAATGACAGCACTATACACGAAAATTACACAGATCGTAATCAAGCGCTTCCCCATTCTCGCGGTTTTCAGCATAATGTTTCGTGCGTCCACATTGAGAACGTTCTCCCAATCCTCCTCGACGTGCTTCAAGCATCGCTTGAGTTGATCATAGCGAGATATGAAGATGCCGTATTGACCAACCGACATGAAATCGTAGAGGAGAAAAGGGATCATTTGCAGTCGAATGCGCGACGTTGCCTCTATAAACCAGTAAAGAATACTGGGCACGAAGTCGCAAAAGAGAAGAGTGTAAGATATACAAATTAGCAAAAGATTGCGAGCCTTCTGGTATACAGATCTTTCTTTTCTGATGGAGGGCCAAGCACCGAGTGCAAGCAACAAATTGCGAATTGGTTGCATGACATACAAAATATCGTTTTGATATTGTTTATTTCGCGGCATTTCTCTAGACTTCGACGAATATTCTATGGTTATATGGTTATACTTCCGAGCTCTATCCACGTAACGTGCACTTAATACAATGCTTGAGCGCTTAACTGATCAAAGGACGAAGCTGACCGCAAAGTCAACTCGTCGCTCGCGCATATGCTTGCGCATTTTAAAGATTTAAATGTCGCATGAGAAGAGAGGACAAAAGCAGAAAAGCTTGTAAATGTAGCCATTTGCAAGGGTAGAGATTACTTGCCATATATAAAATGTATTTTTATCCGTCAACCTTCCCTTATTGCAGCAACTAAGAAAGTTATCATGTATAACTCTTCTTCCCGTTTCATAGGCTCGGTATTATCTCTGTCACAATATCATATTTGGCATAAAAATTATTTCTATATTACGCATTTCTACATTCTACATTCTATAGGATAAAAAATCGTAACGAGATTGCTTGCCATAAAATGAATTTTTATCCGTTAACCTTCCCTTATTACAGCAACTAAGAAAGTTACCCTGTATAACTCTTCTTCCCGTTTCATAGGCTCGGTATTATCTCTGTCACAATATCATATTTGGCATAAAAATTATTTCTATATTACGCATTTCTACATTCTACATTCTATAGGATAAAAAATCGTAAAATATATATGATACATATTTACATCACATTAATCTACGTTAACAATAATTGATAATAATTATTATCAATCATTGTCACAATCGTAGACTTATAATATCGAGTGCGTAAAACATTTAAAAAAAATACATATATAAAATACAGCAACAAATACGTATTATCTCTGGCACAATATAATATTTGGTATAAATATTACTTCTATATTACGCATTTCTACATTCTACATTCTATAGGATAAAAAATCGTAAAGTATATATGATACATATTTACATCACATTAATCTACGTTAACAATGATTGATAATAATTATTATCAATCATTGTCATAATCGTAGACTTATAATATAGAGTGCGTAAAACATTTAAAATACATATATAAAATACAGCAACAAATTAAATAAAATGGGGATACGAAATGCAATAGATATAGCATAATGAGAAGGGCAGAAATTGAAAAGGGATTTTAATAATAATTCATAATAATTATCAGTAACAGAGAGATTACAGTAATGAATTTTACGAGGAAAATTGTCGAGGGTAGCAATTATTTTCAAAGGAAAATATTCGTATTTATTTGTCGGACTTTGTACCAACTATAGGAAAACGATCATGTTGGTCTTCATGTCTTCGTAACGTGTAATTGCAACCAATAATGCCCACAAGGAAAAAATAATTTTGATTATTATGTTGAATATAATGGTTTGTGTGTATGTATCAATCCGTATTAATTACTATTTTTTAATCTCGTCAGTAAAGTAACAGACATGTCATTTGTATTCTTAAAATAAATCCATAAATGTACGTAATGAGCATTAATGAATGTATAAAATTATATGAATTGTTCATTGAAATATAATCAAATATATATATTTAAATGACATTTTATATTACATTTAGATTGTAATATGGTTTTGTATTTTACTCATCCAATTGATTCATACGATATGATGAATCGAACAATTAACATTATAATTTCAACTAAATCATTTGTATTTTTAAAATAAATCCATAAATGTACATAATGAGCATTAATGAATGTATAATATAAAATTTTATGAATTGTTCATTGAAATATAATCAAATATATATATTTAAATGACATTTTATATTACATTTAGATTGTAATATGGTTTTGTATTTTACTCATCCAATTGATTCATACGATATGATGAATCGAACAATTAACATTATAATTTCAACTAATAGAATTTAATGATTCAATCGATTACACTTCGGAGCATATTAAAATATGTCCCAGCCGTTTTCATAACCTAAAACATTTACAATTGTTTTCTTCTATAATTTGTTTTCGATTAACCATATTTATCGTATTGCAAATATCAAGCATACATTTAATAAGATGACTTATACAAACAATATGGTACTTATTTTATAAAAAAAGATTCCATCTAAATTATCTAACTCCTATTTATGGATTTAAAATATTAATATTTATATCGTTTAACGCTATTACAATTAATATGAAAAAAGACCTAAAACATTTACATTTGTTTTCTTCTATAATTTGTTTTCAATTAACCATATTTATCGTAATTGCAAATATCAAGCATACATTTAATAAGATGACTTATTCAAACAATACGATACTTATTTTATAAAAAAAGATTCCATTTAAATTATCTAACTCCTATTTATGGATTTAAAATATTAATATTTATATCGCTAACGCTATTACAATTAATATGAAAAAATAAAGAGTAATATATTTTTCATAAAACATACTTTATGAAAAATTTCAGTATATGCAGACAGTCTTTTATGGAAATAATAGAATTAATTTAAAGTTAATTTTTACTTACATTACCAAATGTTTGGAGCGAGAGATCGACGAATTGTCCAGCAGAGATCTTTGTCGGCGTATTAGACATAAGAATCAACAATACGATGCTACGCGCTTTTTTATTCGGAAGACGATACCACTCGAGCACGCAGGATGTAATGGCTACCTTTTCCGCCTATCGTTGGATTTATCATCACGTAGCAATGACCATAAAATGTGTTTGTATCATAATATCATTTGCTATTTCAAGGATATTGCAACACGTTCCCTGTGTTTCTTTTTCACGATATATTCATGAAGATATTTAATAAAACTTATTTTAGCATGCAGTAACTCTTTCAAGATTTAAGTAAAATTGAATTTGCGGTTTAATTGCAAATAATATGAAAATAAGTTATTGTAATTATGGAACATTATTATTGCTATCTTCATTATTATTACTTGTGTTTTAAAAAATGAACATATTAATATTCATGAGACTTACTTGGCCGGTAAGCTGTTCACCGGTATAACAAAATAGAAATATGTGAATTATCAAATTTATAATGATTATCAAATAAGAGCATAGAGTTCCTATATTCCTAGTTTGCCAATCCTACAAATATAAATATAATACTTTATGTAATCATAATATTATTAAATTATTACTGATTAACTTTAAAATCTGAAATGATTATTTTTGTCAACAAAATATACATTATTATGAGAATTTGAAATTAAGTAAAAAATTATAAATTGTAAATAATTATCGATTTATTATATTTTCAATTTTTCATTTTAATATCCAAAAATATTTAATTTGTTCCGTTATTAAAATTAATTGGCAAACTTACGAACCATTAACATAAAATACACTAACAAACAGATTGTTGTTGTATTCACCACAATTTCCAGCATATATATTTCCTGTAAGGTATGTTGTACTAACCGTAAAAAACTGAAATGTGTAATTATCAATGATGACTATTAACGCTCTTTAAACTAATAGAAAAATTAAATAATATCAATAACATATGAGAGAATTGAAAGATAAGAATTTTTACCAAGCATTGTCAATAAGTATTATTATTAACATATCATAAACGTATGTTTATCAGTATAAGGAAAGTCGGAGGAAGATGCCATAGTTAACTTTGGATCGCGACATTCTTTCAACCATTCTCGATATATAAAAGAAAATAAAATCAATAAAAAGTTTGATTATTCTTATTTATTGCTGTTCAATTATAAAAATGTAAATTTTGTAAGTCTTGCAAGAATTTTTACAATAAAAAAATAAAAACCTTCCTAAGTAGCATCTTACTCAACCTATTGGGTAAGTTAAGATGTTAAGATGAGATGGTTAAGATGAGATCTGTAGTAAGATTCCCTAACATCTTGACTAGATAAAACATAATATATAATATATATATATTAAAAATTCTATTAATAGTTATTCTCTACTTTTCTTGAAAGTGAACGAT